CACCAGTGTGTTAAATTTGTCTCATTTTCCATACATCAGCGTATGTTGATGCTATATGCATCCAGGTTTGACAACCTTTAAAAACCTTCAAACTGTCTCATATTTATTCACATGAAAAATAAGATGATCAAAGCATGTTTGCATTACATACCTGTTGTTCTCTTTTTTAATATCCTTGACTTTCCTACGAGTGAATGTTTTACCTACAAGTTTAAATCCAGATAAATAGGTTAGTCAATTTAACAATGACCAACAGGTCTCTAATTTTAAAATAAATGGAATGCCAGTTGGAAAATTTTCTCTTGTAAAATTCTTAAAAAATTCTTTTTCACGACATTAAAAATCAATAATTTTATGCATACTACAATGTAAGTGTCTTAGTAAATCATGACAACAGTTACATTTATTTCATTTATATTTTTGTTTGCTTTCTTTCTTTTCTGAAAGTAAATAAATCTTCCCCATAAAATTAGTTTGCTGGGTATTAAAAAGTAAATCAAGCTTTAAGTTTTGGTTGTGTAATTAAGCATTCTATATATCTTAATGTCAGACATTGCATGTTGTCAAGTTAGCACAGGCAAGTGAGTAAAGGCTTGGATAGGCGGAAGTCACAAGTTTCGTTTACTGATACCCTTTATGATTTCATCTGGGATAGATAAATTTTTATAACCTTTCAGCAGGTTGTGATTACAAAATAATTATGTGCTTCCTATCATAGTAAGCAGTACAAAACATAGTTTGAGACAGACAAAGCATGGCTAATTAAGGCACGAAAACCATAAGATTTTTGAAAAGCCGTACAGGTTCTGCATGCTCATTTCAGACACAGACACGGAATATATATGAGTCTAAAATTGGGGAATCCTTAAAGCACTCAGAAACCCGTGTGTAGGTACAAAATCCGTGTCGAAGGAAGATGGCTTTTAACTCTTAAAAAACTTCAATGACGTCACCCATTGTTATTAGTCTACGTATATCTTACCGATTCAACCAGCACTAGTTGGATATTTAAAGATCCAACTAGCCATCAGTTGGATATTCAAATATCCAACTGTCCATCGGTTGGATATTTAAATATCCAACTGTGCATACAAACATAATTAAGCAATGAAAAAAAAAGAGATAAAAGAGTTTAAAATGTATTTCCAATGCAAATAAAAAACAATTACTCCGAATTTGTCACACTATTAGAATTTGTCCAATGCACACAGAATTAATCACTTTGTATTTATCACACCATTAGAATCGTGTTAAAAATGTACTTCCAATGCTCACAAAAATTACAATTCCTCCGAATTTGCACACTGTTAGACTCTTGTCGTCAATAAAATATCCAATACTTATCCATGTTTTTTTTAAACAGAATGTTTTCGGTCTTAAATTTTGAAAGTATCACATTTTGACACGCATTTAAATACATTTTCACCTTGAACCTTAAACCACATCACTTCCTGTTGCTGAATATTATCAGCAATCCTCTCACATTATTCGAGGTTCATCTCTGTTCTCATACTTTTCCAGCATACTTCCCAAAAGAATTTAATAAATTGACAGCCCATCTATTTTTGATACCTTTTTTATTGCAGATCTTGATATGGAATATTTTTAAAGCAGGTTCCGCATAACACCGACAATCTTTTCATCTGTTTTAGCACTACTAGAAGTATTGTCTGAGTTCCATAAGATTCAAACATTTTTCCCCCAACAAATCATCATCTTATATGTATAATGATAGATTTCCAACCTTTTGTCAAAATTCTGTAGTTTTCTTCTGCTTTCAGGTCAAAAGTATTCAGAACACTATCTGAACCGCTCTAATTTTACTTTGGATTTAAAACTATTCTTCATCTGATTTCATGACTGTTCAGTACAATGGAAAGGTTTGAAATGACATTAACACCATGCGGTTTCATGCTCACTAGTCCATGAATAAAAGGGGTGTTCGATTAAGCTATTGTATTGTGTCACTGTTGGATATCTAAATGGGCTAGATTCTATTGTATTACAGCAAAGTTGGATATATGAATGGGTAAATGTTTCTTTGGGGTCCACAATAGGGAGGTTTTTTATGTAAGATAAATAACTCGATAGTGTTGAATAGTTCAGAGAAAACATCCCCTCCTGACCTTCGGCCCTCGGAAGGAATGTTTTCTCTAAACTATTAAACTATCTCGTTATTTATCCATTACATAAGAGCTCAATAATTGTGACGTGGGTTTCGCTTCAAACTGTTTTTTTCTCACGGCTTTTTACTGAGCATGCTCCATGATAACTTCCTTTGTTTAAAAACCAATTTGGAGGAATTTGTGATTTTAAGCTAAGAATGTTTCATTACTCCAGTTTAAGGATATTCAACTGAAAGATGTCAAAAGGTTTTCTATTTATGTCGTTCTGGGTTAAATTTTATCACTTTTGAACCAAATGAAGCAAGTCTAATATAGAATAAATAATTATCCATTGCTAGTGAAATTCGATCTGTATTGCAATGCTGACAATGAAATAGATTATGTTTATTTTAAAATTAATGATTTAAGCTGGACTTAAACTTAATAATCTTATTGCATTTCATGTGCCATCACTGTCTTCGAGAAGTTATATTTGTATAATATTCTTTCTCAGATTGTGCAAACTAAATTAGGTAAAATTACAATTGAATTCATCATTATCATTGAATTCTTAATTAGAAACTAATATGAACTGTGAACGATAAAGTAGATCTTTAACAGAAAGTGAATGGACACATTCATATATGAGTCTTTACATTTACAATTCTTTACAAAGTATTATATAATAGCAATTATGTAAAGCCTAGTGTGAAGTTTGGTTTCAGTCTCCATTTTGTCATCTACAGTTACGTCAGGAGATTCTCTTAAGGTTCTAATCTAGATCTCGATGAATGTACAGATCTCGTGACTCCATATATGGTATGTCAGAGGACTTTTTTTGACATGGGTTTCTAAAAAACGTCTCCTTTATGAAAAATGACACAGGTTTTCACACAGATTTACAAAATCTGTGTGTCCATATGAAGAAACCCGCACAGTTTTCTGGCACAGATTTTGTAAACCATTGGCCGAATTTAATAATTCGGGCAATATCCCGTGTCTTGTCTTTGCCCCGCTCACTTTTTGGCACGAGTTTTTTTTTTGGGGGGGGGGGATAGAATTATTGATGTAACGATTTTAAAGTATTCCAAAAGTGCATGACATCGCAAGTTTCTAAAAACAAATATTACTTTCGCAGCATTTGCAGTTGTAATGTTGTAATGAATATGACAAAACATTTAATGACTAAACAGAGAAGCTATTGAACATTAGAAATAAAGATTTTGAAGATATTTCTTATTCACTGACATAAAAAAAAATTATATCAAATACACATATATAGCCTTTTAATAAGGTACAATCCCTAGATGTATAGAATTTATAGAGAACATTATACTCGGTCGATCTTTCTTAAGGCCTGTATGTCTAGAGGTCTCAATCATGTGAAAGCTTTATATTTGTATCATACTTGCAGAATATTTAGATTAATTTTTCTTTTAAAAATATCAAATCATTATCTGTTTGATTTTTAATTTCAGCATCAATACAAATAGTTAGATATGGGCTTACTTTTTGAGGTGCCGTACTGTTCAACTCTAGCATAGCCATCTGAGTGTGCGGATGTAGAGCTGGCACTCCGCATGAAGGCATGGGAGTTGAAATCCCGAACCATATCATCTGGCATCTGGCTCACCTCAACTTCAACAGGTGGCTCATTCAAAACGAAAGTGCTTGAATTGGTCTATTATATCAAGGGTTAGAAAGAATAAGAAAGAACATATACCAAATGATACTTTCATATAATGTAGATTCCTAAATATATGCGAGGAAAATATTATTGCGTAATTTCGCAAGAGGTTCCACTCGCGAAATTAAATACTCGCTTTTATTTATTATGGCGATTAATTGTATGTAAAACCTCTAGATCAATGGTCCACTCGCGAATTATTGTTCTCGCGATTTGAAGTACTAGGGCCATTTCGCGATATTAAATACTCGCGTAAAATAGGAATCTACAGTAATTCATTCCAAAATAAAGCCTTTAACTGCATTCATGCATGAAATTTAAGTTAAAAGGATGATAATGATATATAACCACAACAAGATTACTTACTTTTATAAAGCTGCTGACACTTTGGCTGCTGTGTAAATTATTCCTTTCCCTGGGTACTAAGTTATCTAATGGGTCCATTTCTTGTAAGGAATAGGAGGTCTGAATCCTTGATAAGTCAACAAAAACTGGTTCGTCAATTACGGTGAGTTATTTGAAAATAAAATAACTACATACTCTCTGCTGCTTATCTTTTATTTTTTTGTAATCCTTAATCATGTTAATTGTGAGCAATTATTGATTCCCAACAATAACATTAATATTTTTCAAGGTCATAATATATTGTAACAATTCAGTAGACCGATCTGCAGGTGTCAATTATCTAAAACTAACCGTAACCTAATCAAATATTAGGTTGGTTTGAGACGAATGAGTTATAGCAATATATAAAACAATTAATCTCATAAATAATTGTTAAATTATTACATAATTTTGAATTGATGATACATTCATATGCATTAAAGGAAGGGAAAAGAGACATTTCATCCCACTGGGGTTCCTAGTGTCTTACCACTCCAACGCATTGATTCTTTTTTCTCTCTATGAGCTATAATTAGCATTTGATTTGTTGCTGTGATCTAGTAAGTATTAATTCACAAGTCTGTTAAAAGATAGAAATACGTTTTCCATGATGTATTATTTTACGTTATGCACGTAGTCACACTAATTTTTCCACCGAAATGTCCCTGCGTACTTCAAGTACATTTGAGACATAAAGTGACAATCCAGGAAATGGATTTCTTAATTTTCTACCCGAAGGTTAAACAGAAATTGTGATTCTGTGAAAATATGACCTTGTGGAAAAAGTACAGTTACAGAATGTTTATAATTTTATTGTTATATACTTACCAATTGGCCATAGTAATCATTTCCACACATTTTGGCTCATTTCGCAAAGCTGGAAACATTTTGAAGCAGCGGAATAGCTCTTTTTTTGACATCAAAGGAAATCTTACACACCTCATGAGTTTTTCTAAATGTCGGATTCTATTTTCAAAATCATGATGGTGCATCCATGAGATGGCCGAGTAAAATACATCCAGCTCGGATTTAGTGGTTAATGTGTCATGTGATAAAATCATGCACAATGTGTCAATATCCAAGTTGAAAAATGATGTGCTTTCCTTTACATCAAGAAAGTTTTTTCCTATTACTTTCATGATGTTATCACAATACTCTATTTCTTCTATACCTTTCACAATTGGCAGAATATTGAGTAATTCTTCGTTGTTGGCCTCTTTTACCTGATTCAGGCACAGTCTTTGGATTTTTTGAACGTGAAAGACACGTGCTAATTTCAGAAGGTCAGCAATGACTGTTGTTTTGATGCTGATGTTTCCGGAATATAAAAACTCCAGAAACAACATGACCGATTCCTCCGATACACCACGCACCTTAATTATTTTTGGTGCAACTGCCTCTTGAGAAAACGAGTCCCTTTCAAATATGCTGGCAAAAAATGGACTCTGTGACCCTAAGACGATCCTATGGACTGGTATAATTTTTTCTCCCACTTTAAAGGCCATGTCACAAATTTGTTGTTTGTGAAATTTGTCCCTTATATAATGGCCTAAATGGGCATAGTGTTGATTATGAACAGCAGAGGGTGGAGTTGATACGGTGTCAGATTCGCTCCCGGAACTAAATAGAGGAAGGGGTGAGGTGCTGTTCCCTGACTGATTCCAGCAATTTAATGGAGGAGGGGGTGGGATGTTGCTCCCTGACTGATTCCAGCAATTTAATGGAGGAGGGGGTGGGATGTTGCTCCCTGACTGGTTCTTGGAACTTAATGGAGGAGGGGATGGGATGTTGTTCCCTGACCTGTTCCTGGAACTTAATGGAGGAGGGGGTGGTATGTCACTCCCGGAACTTGATGGAGGGGGAGGTGGAGTGTTGTTCCCAGACTGGTTTCTCTCCACTTTCACTGAAATAGCAGTCAAAGTTATGATTGACAGAAGTGTTAATTTCAGTACCATAAATGCACATTGACTTTTGACGATTTTCAGTGTTGAAACAGTTTACAGTGGTTTCAATCTCACGGTAGTTGAACTTAATAATATTAAATGTGTCTGTATTCATTTTCAAAATTGTTTAAATGTGAGTGAAGAAAGTTCTTCACTGACTAACGCTGGATTTGTTTTAATTATAATTGAATTCCAATTACTGATAATTAATGCCCTGTTCACACAGAGAGTTTAATTCGCAGTAAATTAATGCGAAGTAAACTAATGCGAATTAAACTAATGCGAATTAAATTGCGTTCACACGACAACTAATGCGAAGTAACCTAGCCTAATGCGAATTAAATTTTTATTTCTACAATAAGGCTATTCAGTAAGGCTATTATCACGTCACATTGTGCTGAGCATATACATTTGACCACTGATTTGACATAATGTCATATATATAGTGTCTGTACACATTTTAGTGATTATCATAATTTCCCTTTGTTTTCCACTCAAAAATAGCACAAATACCTATATCTGACCACCGACGTGTGGCCTGTGACTTAATTCTGCACTTAAGCATGCGTCAAAATTTAATTCGAATTAGCTTTGCTTAGCGTTCACACGGAGCTCATGCGAAGTAATTTAATGCGCAGTAAACTAATTCGAATTAAACTAATTCGCATTAAATTCTCCGTGTGAACGCGGATCAAATTTAATTCGCAGTAACTTACGTTTAATTCGAATTAAACTCTCCGTGTGAACAGGGCATAAAATGTGGGGTATAGGAAACCATGGTTTTAGGGTTAGACATACGTACGACTCACGTCCTCAAAGGTCTGATGAAACGTTCCTCAAAAATAAATAACGTTTCCTTAGAAATTGTGCAAGAAACCAGATGATGGTGTTTTCTACATAATCCTATTCGAAAACTCTAGAATTGTCAATATCACAATCTTTGGTGTATTTATTTTTCTTAAGACAATTTGAAAACAGTTTAAAATTCACAAGGTACCGTACATAAAATGATCACTATGAATAAATTTTTTTTTCTATTATGAAGGGATACAAAATAGATACAGTGTGTATTTGAGGAAAATGTCGTCAGACCTTAAAAATCTGATTTAAATGAGATCTTTGTTACGCTCCAAAATTCTGATAGTCACTATACAATAGAGTGTAGGGCATAGTACATTTCTAAGCTTTTTCCATAGTTACATATTCCTTGTATGTACATTAAAATTTAATATTCAGTGAGATTTAAGGTCACTCAAATTTTTAGAATAGTTCACAGAGGAAACACAGAAGAGTAAGAGATAATTTTATGTTTTCAGTTCCAAGTCCAGATATTTTTGTGTTGTATCATATAATATTCAATTTAAAAACTACTCAAAAAATTGTTAAGAAACAAGATTTATGGGAGACTATTTCTTGGGGTAGAAGGATATTTAGAAGAAAATTATTCAAATCTACACATTTCTTTGATTTAATATCTTGGAACTTTAGCCCTATATATTTTTACTCGGAGAATTTTGTTCGTTATTATATGATGGGAATATTATTTCAATTAATATCTTTAAAACAAATTTTACATATTCACTCAACAGACTTTGCCAAAAAAGGAAGACATATTTAAGAAGACTAGATAGAATTTATATGATAGTTTTTCACCTGAAAATCGCATATTCTGACCAATAATTAAAAATTTACATCACTGACCCCAACTTTTTCTTTTATTATTTTAAATTACACGATACATTCACTTAAGTCAAAAAGCTCAATACAAAAAATATTTTATCCCATGTTTACCCCTTTATCCCGTGGATATGACTCATTGGATAATTTTTTCATATTCCACAGTTAAGTGCAGTTGTGACGTCACAATGGTTTTTGCGTTAGAGTGATGAAGTAAAATAAAGTGGAGTCCTATATAAAACAGTGTAAAACATTAGATGTGAAGTATTTAACATGGGATAAAAAGAATCTCCCATGATTTGTAGTTGGATATGACTTTTATCCAACTCGTTGTGTGTTTTTATCCCCTCGCCAAGGCTCGGGGATAAAAAACACACAACTCGTTAGATAAAAATCATATCCAACTACAAATCATGGGAGATCCTATATTTATTGTCTATTTAATTTTTTAATCCCTAAATATGATATTTTTTCAGTGCAAAAAGGTCACACAATACTTTAAGTGCATTAATTTGCAGGATTTTTTCAATAATAAATATCATTCAAACTATTTTTTTTTAATAAAATAAGATAATATTTATTGCCATGGTTACATTTGGTAAAATATGACTAAGGTTAAAGTGATTAACCTTAAAGCTACATGTATATATGGCGTATCTGAGCTTGAAAAATAATAATACGAGGATGAGTAATACATGATATATGTTATTTACTTTCAAATTAAAATTTTCACCGATTTTGAGCTTGATTAACTTCACGTTTCTATAGCTTAATTAAATTTAAGTTTGTCTGTTATTTAAATGTGGAATCGGTTAATAAATCGGTTATTGTTTTAGATTTTTAATATCTTTGAAACGCGATTGATTTAAATTGTGTAATCTACAGGAAAGTCCTAGTATCTTTATATAAAGTAATAAAACAAATAGAAAGATCTTTTTAATTTTGGTTACCTGAACGTATAAAAAAAAATACGCGATATATGACTTTAAAGTTACAATTTAAGTGCAAAAAGGTCAAGTTAATCGTACTGTTGTGCAGGAAGATGCACACTGACCCCCACTTTTCTTTGCGACTTTGAGTCATGCTATACGAGTAGTTGTCTAAAATATACCTCTCAAAAAATCCTTGATATAACTCATATCACGAGTGACATACCTTCAAGAATTCTATGGGAGAAATGGTTTGTTTCTTTCTTTCTTTTTTGTTTAACGTCCCACGCACACCACTTGCAGGTGAAGAGCTGCAAATTTATACCTTTTCTCGGAACTCAGGGCCATTGAGCAATGAGGGATCTTTTTCGTACCAACACTACGACATGTGACCTCGGTTATATAAGGATGTTTTGTGGCAATTTTGGTTGAAACTGAGTTCAGTTTGGAGAAGAAGTTTACGGACTGTGAACATGACAGAAAACAGGCAGATGCCAGAAAAGCTCACTTGAGCCTTCAGTTTAGGTGAGCTAACTAGATGTACTGTGAGCAAACTCACAAAATAATACCCCCTGCTGCATTTTGTTTAAAGTGTCCATTCAGATTTTGTAAATGTGATATTTTGAACTTGCCAAAAAGACCTTTGTATAAAAAATGAAACATCCTCTGGCCATTGTTAATCTTTCAGTGAAATATGGACATGCAAAGTTTCTCTTTTAGAAAATTATAGACCTGTTATAAATTTTTACACTTTTTACACCAGTGACCTTGATATTGCCAGACTGACCTTTGGTCAAGGTCATGACACACCCTCAGGTCATGAACAATATCTGTACTAAATATGAGTTTTCAATCATTCTCCATATTAAAGTTATAAGCCTGACAAGAAATTTATACTTTTCTGCTAGTGACCTTAAACTTGCAGGAATGACCTTGGGTCAAAATCAGGACTCAACCTCAGATCATCAGCAATCTCTGTATCAAGAATGAGCCTCTACTAATACTTTATTCAAAAGTAATAAACTAAACAAAAATTTTAAACAAAAATTTTATACTTTTTTGTCAGTGACATTGAACTTGCCAGAATGACCATGGTTTAAGGTCAAGACACACAATCGGGTCATAAGCAATCTCTGTGCAAAGTACATGCATGAGCTTCGAGTGTTTCTCCATAACAAACAAGATTGCACAGATAAATGGACGGACAGACAGTGGGACATACGGAGGTGATTCCTATATATCCCCTCAAACTTGATTGTGGGGAGTATAAAAAGCTTATATAATTTATTATCTAATGCCAGATCACTCTTAGCCTATCAGCAAAAAAGTTCCATAGAATTATAACTCTCTAAAATGCAGTGTAAATTAGAGCATCCTTAGTGATATTCTCGTGAAACAGTAATTTATTTGTTTGATTTCTTTTCCCGAAACCTGTTTTTAATGGGCAGTATAATTTTTCTGTGACATTTCACAGCATGGAAACTATACTCTTATTGATCAGGATACAGATAAAAAGTCTCTCCTCAGTCAAAATGAATGCAAGATAACAACAACACCTGAACTTTGGCCAGCAGTTGGAGACTTTATAAAGAAGTCATTTAATAGAACTGTGAAAATGAGGTCAATGACACTCAAAAGTTTTTTTTAACATTGTATTAACAAGAGACCCATGGGCCACAACACTCACCTGAGTATCTTTGGCCCTGCTGTTCTTTACCAGATTTTCTCCCTTGTAATATGTACTGTGCCCCACCCTACCCAGGGGTCATGATTTGAACAATTTAGAATCTAAACTACCCCCAGGATGCTTCCATATAAGTTGCAGCTTTTCTGACCCAGTGGTTGTTGAGAAGATTTTTAAAGATTTTTACTATATGTTCAATGTAAAACTTTGATTCCCCATTGTGGCCCACCCTGCCCCCGGGGGTCATGATTTGAACAATTTAGAATCTACACTATTCCAGGATGCTCCCATACAAGTTTCAGCTTTTCTGGCCCTGTGGTTCTTGAGAAGAAGATTTTTTGATGACACAACCCTATTTTTGTCTTTTCTTGATTATTGAATTCCATGAAAGTGCTTTATTTTCTACATGATTCTATTGAAGCCGTAAAGTACGGGAAAAATTAAGTTTAAATCAATTATGACGTCATAATGAAGTAGCACCAAGAAGAAAGTCTAAACTCATTTACTAGATCTTGACCTTAACAATTTAAACTCCCCTTCACCCAAGGATGCTTTGTGCCAACTTTGGTTAAAATTGGCCCAGTGGTTCTTGAGAAGAAGTCGAAAATGTTAAAAGTTTACAGACGGATGGATGCGCACCTAGACGGACGGACGACGGACGATAGGTGATGAGAAAAGCTCACTTGAGCTTTCAGCTCAGGTGAGCTAAAAAGCTATTTTAAAATGTATATTGTATCTGTATCTGTATATTGTATCTGTATCTGATATTTGTTTAATTCTGTAGTTGCTTGACCAATAAGAGTGTAATATATATGCAAATATTTACATTCAATATGTATTTTGCTGATAAAGTGTGAGGAAAGCTACGGCATTCAAAACACCGTAACACGGAGAGGGGGTCAAAAGGTTAAAATATGCGTTTTATTTTGACGTCACAAACGTTGTGCCTTGGAAATGCAACGTCATAAGCGAAAATCAAAATTCACGCTCACATTAAACAGAAGCTGATGTAACGGCTCTTCCACTAATTGTAACTTACCCGAAGGATAATACAGGGATTTTGATATATAAATTACCTTTGCAGTCAAGCCAAGGAGTTAAAAAACGTAAATATAAACACGCGTTACTCAATTTGTTTGCACACACCGTTGCAGTTATGAGACTATATCTTTCAAAAAATAACGATTCAATGCTTAAATATTTATATTTGCTGTGTTTTTCTACGAAGCCAACTGTGAAATTGATTTGATAACCATTTTTGTGTATACTCACGCGTAGTAATATACACGGAGAAACTCGAGCTAAAGTGACGTTGAGTGTATTTTTTGGTGCAGTTAAACATGTGAAATGTAAATATAAAGAATGTTTTTAAGCTATGTGTGAATTATTGGTGTGTAAATCACACAGATTTGCACGCACATGTGGGCATATTTTTCATTAAGCGCTATATAAGGAACGATTTTGATTTACTTCGTACTGGTGCACTGTTGTAAAAGATTAAACAGTAACTTACCACTATTGTGCTTAGCAACCCATTGGCTAGCTTCTTTTATTTTGCTGGTAATGGGAAGCATTGCTGGTTTAGGAAGCTCTTTTGCATTCTGGAGTTTTAAAAATATAAAGTATTAATTTAGCCAAAAAAAAAAAAAAAAAAAAAAAAAAAAAATAATAATAATAATAATAATCATTCCAATCAAAGCCACCATAAAATATTGAAATAAACAAAAGATAAGTTTCACTGTAGCTTGGCAAATATACAAAAGCTTTGCAGCCATCAATAGCAAGAGTTAATAGATTATTATAATATTAGAGGAGGGGGGGGGTTGATATGTATATATCTGATCTAAGTCTACCCAAATCAACTTTAGTGGAAGGGTGCTGAATATATGAGCTCCAACCATCTAAAACATTCTTTAAATTTTTGTAAATGAACTGATTAAATTCATTTTTCCAATCCTCTTACAAACAAAAGAAACAAAGAAAATTCAAAGCTACAAATGGATTTTATTGCTTTGATAGAGTGAATGTTAAAATATGATCATTCCAATTCCATTTTTCCACCACTTGAAAGTTGTTAATTTTTTACTTTGTATACATATCTTCTAGATATACAAGTATATATTTTTCTAAATGGGTTTGACCATCAATTTGAATAAACTTAAAATTCCAACAGTCAATTAAAATTTGTGTCACTTGTTAAGTAAAAAATGTTGGTAGTGATTATGCTGAAAAATTTACTCAACAACAGATAATTTAAACGAGAGACACAAGTGAACGAATGCAATTAATTAAGTATTACATGATAATTAAAATCTAAGAAAACTTACCCTCATCTTTCGCTTCCTCTCCCACGCCTCCTGTGGGAAAGCGTCCTCATAACACATAAATGACAGGGCACCCCTGTCAAATATACCTGGCTCTAGATTCGCCATTCTAATGCAATTGTTTTAAAATGAATTTTGATTGGCTAATGCATTGATGTTTGAGGCAGTTGATTGTGACGTCATAATAAAGCGACGCAAAAACACAACACTCCGTGACGTATTACTTTTGGCGATTGCTGTTATTACCAAGGAACAACACTGTAAAATCTAAAAAAAAAAAAAATTCCGCGCAAGATACTTCGTTTCCGGAAGTTAAAGCTGATGAAATCCCAGGCACTTGACGTTATTATTTGTTCTTTATTCTTATTGCTATGCATTTTTATTGACTCTAAAATTGCTGTTATATCTTACATATTTATGAATCACAAATTTCTGTGTGGCAGTAAAATAGAATCCTACATATCTTTTTAATACTAAGTGACGTAACCCTGAAATTCAGCCGTTTTTATGCATAATGTAGGCCTAGCAATGTTGGCAGTTGTATTATTGTTTTAGTTTTACTCTTTTAAATTTTTTTTGGCCACTTCTTTTATATTAATAAATATTTACTGAGAAGCTACAAATAATAATAATAATAAAGGAAGAATGGATGAAGGATTCGTCAGAATTTGAAAAAAAAAAGGAGAAGAAATCCAACTCAACTTTTTAGTCCAAATCTGTTTGAAATTTTCATCAGTGACCTCTCAGCCTCTCAGACTAGTTTAAGACTACCCACATTATTTTTAATTTTTATCATTTATTTATTTATTTTATTTATTTATTTTTGTATTTATTTATTGTGTCAAACGTGAGGTATCGTAAAAAACGATTCTCTTATTTGAATTGATTTTTTCCCTTCCTTATTAAAGCTACTGAAGAAACCAAAGAGAAAAAAAAATTATTCTAATACATTGATTTCCTTTTTCAAGTGCCACGTCTTTTTTTTTTTTTTTAATTATTATTATTTTTATTTCTAATCGTAAAAAAGTCAGATGGGAATGAATAAAGAAATTTGAAACAAAAAATGAAAATTGAAACAAAGTTAGTATTTAGTCAAAACATCTGATTATATAGACAATGAAATGGGCGGGTACTATTCGGCGCGGGCGTCTGAGAAAACACTGATGGGATTGAAATTTAAGTTCGAAGTTCATTTTCAGTTCACCTCAGCTACTCTCATACGCACAGTGTTAATGATTGATCAAGAAGACAATAATGTAAATTTCGGAATAGTTTGGCATTTATATAAATAAGAGTTTTCTGACCAATGATTTTTTAAAGAAACAATAAGAGGACAACTATTTGATTCCCCTGGGGGGGGGGGGGGGGTTAGAACTTTGAGATAAGCAGGAAAGTTTTTGAGTTTGGACACTCCCCCCTTTTCCGTTTTTGTTTGTCACATTTTTCAGTGATGAAGAAAAAGATTATATCTCTTGTCATCCTAGGAACAAATATACGATCTATTCTGTTTTGTGAGGGCATGAATGAAAAATAAATATATATCTCTCTCTCTCTTTAAAATCAATTGGCCGTATCCTAAAAGAATATATCTATATCTTCTATATCAGTAACGTTTGCTTGTCTTTAAAAATATTGGATTGAAATTTTTTTATCTACATCAATTTCAAACTATATGGGAATTGATCTGATGTGATTCATTAATACACCTGACACCCTGCCCGACCCGTGAGCAATGTCGCCATAATCCTTTACTGCAGATATGTATGAACAGTACTTACGAAGATTTTTAAAATATCGGTACCTTTGTTGTTTGTAGAAAATGTTGAACTGGTTCTTTTTTCATGAACACCTCAAACCCCCCCCCCCCCCCCGCCCGCCTTACCCCTTCGCTTTTTTCTGGAAAAAATTACGGATCGATCAGTGTCTGGTTAAACATGTAGTTTGACTCAAAGCAAACACCAATTAGTAAATTAAATTAGTTTCAATGTCATCAGGAACGTGGTATGGGGGGGGAGGAGGTTGCCCCCAAACATTTTTTTTGCTGTTCATATAATATGAACGTGCGGTAATGTCGAAATATGAAGCCTTACTGTATATCCATTTTTTTTTCTTTTGAAAAGGGGAAACCCCCTCCCCATCCTATCCCAGCGAAAATATTTACTGTAAAGGTTTTTTAGGCAACTTTTATTTTTTGACTGGTCAGTTATTTTCTTCCCCCCCCCCCCCCCCTGCAAACATACATATAACACTTTCAAAAAAACAATGCTATGTGCCTGGCCCAGTAATCACAGAATAGTCTAAGACAATGATATTTGCTTTGCCTGGGAATTATTAAGCAGTCTGACTTATGTCAGAATTTCACTCATTTTTAAAAATGAAAATTTATTGCAAACTACTGCTTAAAAATTAGAATGAACAAGATGGAAGGGTAACAAATTCAAAAAAAAAAATTTTATGCTTTCGATCTATCATACAACTTTAGTACAATGTATAAATTCTGTCTAAAGTCTAACACTCCTTCATGATCCTTGGGCCATGTTAAAAACGCCTAACTTTTAAATCCACCATTATCAAGCTTCAAAGCAAAGTTTAGGAGATGGAGGGGGGTATTCATAAACATGTAGATACTTTATCATTGGTACATGTAATAGAAGAGTATACATTTTTAATAGAAAATATTCTACGTTGTCAGTTGCGAAACAATGCTAGCAATCTTAAAACACATTCAAAGAAATACTTTTATCAGATGTTAAATCATATGAAAAGTATGGATTTTATAATGAAGATACTGAGTTTCAAACATTATTTCATCAAATGCCCATCATACACTTTTGAAAGAAATATATTGGTAAATAAATTAAATGACATGGGTGTTATATATTTGAACTCGACACTCTGTTGAAAGGAAAATGTCAGTATTCTTAACTAGAGAATGTTTGGAATGTATACTAGTCAAAACATATTAGCGCATCATTTTTTAAATTTATATGGTATAGACCTGTGACCGATAAATTTTGATTGAGGCTTTTGAAAAGAATCACTTATATATATATATAGTGCTGCAAACTAATTATGAATGACATAAAACAAATGAAACAAGCTAATTAAGAGAATTTGTGTCCCCCGCTTAGGGAAAAAGAAGAGCATGCGCAGTTTGGGGGGGGGGGTCGGACCCCCCCTCCCCCCCCCCCGGGTTTGCAGAATTATTAAATATATACATATATATTGAAGCAAATAAAAAATGCCAATATGGATCGATATAAAAAATTGATTGCTTATTCTTTAATATGTGTACAGAAGATTCTTTTTATATAGAATATTTATCACACTGTAATAATGATTTTATGACGCCAGACGTCATAACTTTTTCATCTCATATTTTGAATATTATCATTTAGTAAATCAAAAAAAAAAATAATAAAAAAATAAAAATAAAAAAAAAATGAATAAATAAAAAAAGGGGGTCGTCCTAGATTTGAACCCGGGACCTCTCACTTGCTAAGCAAGAATCATACCCCTAGACCTAATAAGCACTTGATTAAACTTTAAATTAAATGCAAACATTAGGTCACATATAATGTTTATATTCACGTTCGATATTGGCAAAATTTTACACAATACATGGTGTCTAATTTAGCCTTTACTAAACAGTTCTAATAGATGTAATAACCATCGACAACCTGTATTATATGTAAAAACTCCACTTGCTCATGTGCTAAAAATAGTGCCAAGCGACTTTTAATACAACGGGGCAGGATACTTTAAGAGGGGCGAGAGTGGCCATAGGGAGTTATGGTATAAAATTCCATTGCAAAAGATCAAAAGCTTCCTGAGATATCGAGCGGAAACGTAAGTGTTACACACAGACAAAATGTATGAATTTACGACCTTGAACTTTGACCTTTTGACCTCAAAATCAATAGGGTTCTTCTTTAGGCGATAGGGAGTTGCTATCTAATATTTCATTGCAAAAGCTCAAAGGGTTCTCGAGATATCGCACGGAAACGAAAGTGCTAAAATAGACAGAATTTATGACCTCGACCTTTTGACCTCTAAATCAATAGGATTCTTCTTTAGGCCATAGGGAGTTGCTATGTAAAATATCATTGCGAAAGCTCAAAGGGTTATCGAGATATTGCGCGGAAACGAAAGTGTTACAAACAGACAGAAATACAGACGTATAGCTGTCTGTCTAGCTGTCTGTCTGTCTTTCCGTCTGTCACACCTTGTATCTCAAGAACTGTAAGAGATATGGACTTGATATTTTGCACATAAATTGATTGGCACTATGGCATTTCTGTATTGCCATGGTTAATGACCTCGTGACGTACTTTACAAGTGCCAATATACAGCATATCTTTGACATTTAAGGGGTAAGTCTATGTTATTTAGCATGTGCACTGATTGTCATAAAACATTATGAAAAATACCAGCGTTATAATTTACTTGACCTTTGACCTACTTTGCAAAAAATAGCTCGGGCAGTTTAATTTAACAGAAGACTTGAATTTTGAGAGGCAAGATGTTAATAATTAGTATTAATACATTAATATTAATACATGTTTATGAGCTCATGTTACCACACAAACTGATATTCAAATATTATGAAAATACATCGGGATCGGTGTCCTACAACGGATCGTGTAGAGTGACAATTGCCGTTAAGACATTGAAACATGTATTAACACATGTAAAATGATAAATAATTATTTATAATAATTTCAACTTACGAGGGGTGATCGAACTATCTCTATATTAACAAAACCCGATTCAGGCGACCGTTTCACTAATAGGTCGTAGCTCGTAAACGTAGACGTAAACTTGAACGTAGCACATAAGTGCGTTTCACTAAAAGTTACGATTTCCGAGTGACGATTAAAGTTGATCGTAAGTCTACGAGCAGTCAGGAGCACTCTTATGATACTTACGTGCAAGTAATTTCATGAAAAAAGAAACACAAAACAGAAATATAAGCAAGATTCCAAATGATTGTCACTTTTACTTTTCTACTGTCTGCTTTCATTGCAAGTTTGTTTGTTTGTTTGTATGTTGTTTAACGTCCCTCTCGAGAATTTTTCACTCATATGGAGACGCCACCACTTGCCGGT